TTATTGATTCAAAAGGTTATTTGTAAAATTAACTAATTTGTTTCATTTTTACGATCGTTCCAAATTTAATTTCATCTGTTAATCTCGTTTATATAACCATCCATCCACCCCAATGCAGTCTTTCGTCGAATCAGTTTTCTAGCGAATTAATATTTTTGGAAAAGATAGATTAGTTTTTTTAAAAAGTTTTTCATCTCGATTAAATTGGTCTTCGTCGTCACATCAAATTAGCATTTCATATTTCAAATTGCCGTTGTCTTGTAATACATCTCTTGTGGATGAAATATTGTGATGGCCATTCGATAGAAGTTTAAATGATCAGAAGTATCTATCTCCTCAAAATATGCCCATTCGAATTTATCACTTAACGAAATTCATCCCTCCACAAGATATCATCCAATTCATCCAGATTTCGCCCAACATCTTCCATTAATCTGTTCAGTTTAAACCTATCCAACGTAATCGCTAATTTCCTGAAAACTTTTAATTGAATTCCATTTCGCGACGAATAATTTTCCTCTTTCTTCTCACCCCTTTTATCTGTCAGTATTTGATCATTTGGTTTCATGATTCTATANTCGCGACGAATAATTTTCCTCTTTCTTCTCACCCCTTTTATCTGTCAGTATTTGATCATTTGGTTTCATGATTCTATAGAAGCGTGATTCTCAGTTTCAGTTCGCGAATGTGTTTTGCCACCAGTAGCGTATGTTTGAAGCACCATCTTCCGATATTTTTTGAGTATTCCTTTAGTAGGTAAATCTTTGATGATGAGATGGTTATTATTATTATTATTAGCTGTAAAATTATTATTATTATCATTTTTATATTGTCTTCGCACTTTTCGATCTATTCGTTTTGTTCTCTTTTACCAGCGATTCTCTGTTATATCTAAAAAGTTATCGTTGAAGCATTGATCTGTCCAATTTCCAAAGAATTACGGATGACTGAAAAGAACATATACTCAGAATAGTCAAGAATGATGTGAGTGATCAGTTAGAAGAAATTTATTCAATCTTATTTGATCTGCGGTGAAATGAAATGAATTCATAATATATGTTGTGAAGATTTCTTGGTTGATTCGGTCGTTTTAGAGTAATTTTATGTTCGACGTTAACTTTTTTGTGGTTCGTGTGCAAAAGCGCAGCACTAGTCGCTTGTGTTATGATGTTGATTTTAGGTGATATGTGTTTTTATGTTGTAATTAGATGCTGTGCCTTGCACACACTGTATATATGGTATACATAAGTTGTGAACGCATGTGATTGCTTTTAAAGGGAGTTGTCGAATGTCGGCATACTTCCGCAATTCATTCATCCTTTTCTACTCTTTTCTTCCAAAAAAACCTTGCAACTCTTCCACTTTCAATTTGTTTTATAATTTGTCGCACAAAATTCATCTTCCAAACAAAAATTAATAGAATATTTGAAATGCTTGAAATGTCCTGTTCTGAAGAAGGATATCCTGTAAATTTATTGATATGGAAGATGCAGTCAGCTAACATTGTTTTGTTGTTGCAATGGTCAATCTAAAACAAAACCTCTTCTGGGTTTTTGAGTCAAATTTTATTTCGATTTCAGCATGAATTTTTTAAATTGATAGGAGTACTTAGCCTAACTCATACTAATCGTTATCCTCGTACATTGTCGTCATCCTCAGTAGTTGTCGTTTCTCGAAGAAGCAGCACTCTACGATCCTCTTCCAATTGTTTCGATTTCGTCATGTTGCTTTTTTATGCATATTCGTTTTCAGTGATTCATGCAAATTGATATCAACTGTTCTCTTCATCAGCTATGGCAGTCATTACACAGGATTGTAATTTTACGCTAGTAGAGCAGGACTCTATATTTGGTGTTTTGATTATGATCATTATTTATTATGCATCAATAACATTCGTGCTCTAGCAAGGTTATTTTTCACGAATCGACTTCCTTTTTTGTTTGATTGCAACCGAACATCCGTCTCTCTCTCAACTAATTATGTCCTCATATTTTTATTCTTTATACCACTGCGATTTTCTAAAATTGGAAGCTGATTTGTTCAAGAATCTTCAGAGAACTTGACTTGAGAATTCATACTGAAAAAATGAAATTGCAAATCAAAAGTCCTGATAAAATCTTCGAGACAGACTGGATAAAAGATGAGGATTTTCTCAAAGGCATTATGAAGGAAGTCGAAGTGAATAAAACGAAAACATCATTTATCAGGATTTGCGAATGTTTTGTTATGCTTTTAAATATATTATTACTTCTAATATCAAATTCAGTATAACAGTGCTGATTTTATCTTATAATCTTCTCGAACTTCTCATTAATATTCTCATAATATGATATAACTTTCACTTCTTAACTCTCATTTCAGTGTCGATATATTGCCATTTTAGCACATTGTTCCGTTTTGATTTTTTACCATTCAGTATGCGTCGTCATTTTAATAAACCATTCAAATGATCGTTATGCAATCTCTCAAAAATGAGTAAATAACATAATGACATTTCCCGTTGTAACGTGCATAATTTATCATTTGATATCTTTATCACTCTCAACGCTGAAGGCATTTATTCTTGTTGAATGCAGTTAAGGAGATGAAGGGAGATGTTTAAAATTCACGTTCGTCAGCATATTCGTTAATGTCTGTGGACGTTATCGGTGATTATATAGGAAGATCACAACTTTTCATATAACTTTCCTTTGCGTAGTGAATTTTGTGTATTTTGGTTCTAGTTATTTCAGTTTATAAGGGTTTGTAATTACTATGAGAGGAAGAATATTCGATTGTTCAAAATCATTTTTGGTCTCTTTCCTGACCAAAAGGAACGTCTGGAGGGAACTATTCATTCAATGAGCGATTTTCTTACTGTTTCTACTGTGCGGTCGAAATCATCAAATCAGGTGAATGCGAACGAAAGTAATCATAAAGAGCGTATTCGTTGGCTAATTAAACTAAGTTACAAAATTTTTGAAGTTCTTTGTTGACTTGATCTCGTTCACTTTGAACCATTCTGCTATTTATATTCTGAACGTGTTTCATCG